AGTTCTCTGGAGGCCGACAGGGTAAAGGGTGAGCCTGTTCCTGTTTTACCAAGACAAAAGCTCTTCTTCCCAAAGTGTAGATGTGTAGGTCATGGGATTCTTTGAGTTGGCTTGTGGTCAGATAAGATTCAAAATGCACTATTTAGATAGGAAGTTCATGGGCCATCTGCTGTTGGCTCCCTTTCCCCTTGAACTCCAAAATGACGTCTTTGAAATTTAATGTCATTTTTGGTAAGTCTCAGTACAGAAATGGTATCAAACATTTATTCAGTAATATTCTTTCTATATGCTGGATTGTCAGCTATAAGAAAATTTCATCTTCAGAATTAAAAGTGTGTATTTTTCTGTGAAGATGTCACTCTCAACAGGGTGGCCCATGTGAGCTATCATCCCCAATAGTACACTTCTTAGCATAAAAGGAGTAGCTAAAATGCCTGGATGATCCAAAACAGTGCATTCACCACATTGGTGGGTTGCCTATAAAAGAGTTCTATTCAAAATTACTTTCAAAAATAAAATTCTTGCTAAAAACTAAAACTCACATGTCAACACCAAAGAGAATTTCCAGTCAGGGTTTTGGTCTTCAGAAATGTTACTTCTGGGGCCATAGTGATTGGACTGGGCTGGGCTGGACTAATGGTGTGCAAGGCAGAACACGGAAGGTGAATCTACCCAGATCCCTGAGCTCTGTGATTGTGGCTTGCTGAATGAGGGCCCTCTCTCTGTCCTGGTGCTGCAGGGAAATATGGAGCAGCACTGGCTGTGGCAGCACCATCCAGCCCCATGGCTCCACTGCAGGGGCCCCCAATCCTTCCTCTGCCTCAGTCCACAGCTGTCAGGAGAGCAATGCAGCACAGACAGGACCCCAGCACCTTTCATTGCCTTTTCACCCTGAGGAACCTGGGAAGACATACCCTAAATTTCTGGACAGATTTTCCAGCATAAGAATTCTAGGGAGCAAAAACAGAGAAAGCTCCTTTTCCCAACCTGAAGATTACATTTGCAGGCATGACTGCTTACCAGCACCTTCAGAGAAAGTCACTGTCAGAGAAGGAAGTCCTATAGTTTTTTGAAGTGATGATGGAAGATATGAATGGACATGAAGAATAAAAGGCACCATTGTGGTGAAAGAACTTCAGTATCAAAAAAGAAATGGTGATGCAGTACATTAATACTGTTTCTGAGACAGAAAGTCTTAAATGTAGGCAAGAGATTTCACCTCAGAAATTCATCTATGAACTGAAATTTGGGTCTGCAGATGAAAGACTTCTGTCATACCTAGAGTCCCTTCAAAGTGTCTATCTGGCAATCCTTTGAGTATCTAGTCTCAGGTATTTCATGAGAGTAACAGAAAATGGATCAGTACAACCTAACAACTTTGAACACATGAACTACAATTGAGATGAAATAGATGGATTTTTGGAGATGCATGAACTACCACGAGAACATAAACATTAGATGGTTCAATGACCACTAAGGAAATTATGATCCTAATTTAAAAATCTCCAAAAACATCTTCAGATATAGATGTCACTGGGAGAATTTTCCCACACATTTAAAAGAAGATCTAGTACCAATTCTATACAGCCATTGCAGGAAATGGAAGGAACAGGGAATAATTCATGACTTATTTTATGAAGCTGGTATTACTACATAGTTAAACTGGAAAAGACAGTGCCAAAATAAAATAATGGAAGAAACCCAAAAGTGACAGACCAAAGTTCATCATAAATATAGGCATGAAAATCCCAATATATAATGCACTTTATTGGCAAGCCCAGGAAGTCATAGGGTTGAATGGATTGATGTAGGAAAAATCATATTACAAAATTCAACACCTATGGATAAAAACTCTCAGAAAAATAGGAATAGAGAATGTTATAGGTTAAATTATATCTCCTAAGCATATGTTTAGGTTCTAGTCCAACATCTACGAATAAGGTCTTTTTTTCAGAAATAGCATTCTAATACAGTGAAACAACGGCTTGGTCTATTCCTTTATGACAGACAGCAGACATCTGTCATAAGGGAGTAGAGCAAGTCGTTGTTTCACTGCAACTTGTATCCTTATAAGGAGAGCAGAGGAAGCTGTTGATTCACTGTGCTTCACATCCTTATGTGATTATCTTCTCATATTTAGTTGATGTTTTTAGTAAAATATTTGAATTTCCATCCCTTTTTCTTTTGGGTATATTCTATAAGTATTTGGTTGTGGTTCCCACCATACCATTTAACATGAAAAGGGAAATCACTCTGATGCTAGCCCATAGCAGTGTAGCTTCAGTAACATACAGAATTCCATTCCAGTTCATCTCCATCCACATCTCACTCAGTTACATTGTAACAAGTACATGCATTGTGTGTGGAATCAAGGCTGAAGTGGCCTGTATGCCTCAGCAGGGTGAGGCAACTTTTTAGGCATTCCCTGGGCTAGGAGAATGTCCCATAATTTCTTTTCAAGGAAATATTCTCTTCTTTATCCTGGAGCCCTTAGTGTGATTAGTCTTAAAACTTCTTGAGATGCTCTCAAGCTGTCTTTTCTATTGTGTTTAGGCAAAGTACTTAGCATCTCTTTGGGTGCTATAATATCTTAAATAAGTATATCTTCCTTATCCACAGTTTTACAAGACTTCTCTGGCCAAATTTCAAGGTTTTAGAATCCCTTATCTCTGTTTTCTGCTCCCCATTCTCATAATAAACCAGGCTAAAAGCGGCTGGCAATATCCATGCTAGTGACTGCATGCTGTGCTACCTTGAAATTTCCACCACCAGATTAATTAGTCCATCTCTTTAAAGTTCAGTCTCACGTAGAGTCTTGGGACATAATAAAAATATAATCAAATTCTTGAAAAAACATAATCAAATTCTTTGCCAGAACATAATGTGAGTGGCCTTCAGTCCAATTTCATACAGAGTCCTGATTTCTCTCTGAAACCTCATAAATATGATTGCATTCTTGTTGTCATTCCTCTTTGAGCTCCTATCAGAATCTCCCATTAAGCTGTGTTTACCACATTCTAAAGCTTTTCCAGTGTGCATCTCTAAACTAATAAAAATTCGTCCTGCAAACCAGCTTTGAGGTTTCTGATCCACATGATCAGGTTAGTCACAATAATAACCCCACTTCTTCGGTTAGATTTTTGTCACTGTAACAAGCCCCCCAATGAGAACGACTTAGAGGATTAAAACTTTACCCAGGCTCATGATTTAAGAGGTCTTGGTTAATAGATAGCCAAGTCCATTTGCTCTGGGCCCAAGGTGAGACAGCACATCAAGGTGGGGGGGCGTCATAGTAAAACAGCACCCTTACAGGTCATATCCTCAGTGACTCACCTCTTTCAGCCATGCCCCACCTGCCTACAGTTAGTCCATTGAAAGTAGGATGGCCTGATTAGTTTACAGCTCTCACAATCTAATAATTTCTGCATTAACACAAGAGGCTTTTGGGGGCACCTCATATCCAAACCATAAATGACTCAGCCTGTATACTCAGGACACTGAGGTTAAGAGGATCACATATTTAAGCCCAGTCTGAGAAATTAGTTAGACCTTCTCTCAAAATAAAAAGGATAGGGATATACCTCAGTGATAGAGCAGTTACCTAAAATGTATGCAGGCCCTGGGTTCAATCACCACTATATCCAAAAAAAGGAAAACAAACAAACAAACAACAACAACAACAAAAACAAACCCAAATAAAACAGGGTGTTTGAGGGCTTGAGGGAATGAGTTCAATCTTTTTATCTCTTCCATCATATGAGGCTACATCAGCAAAGTGCTTTGACTTTGAACTTGCCAATCTACAGAACTGAGAAAAAATAATTTCTGTTAATAAATAACCACAGTCTAAGTTATTTTGTTACAGCAGCATGAAGGGATCCACTCATCTGGAAATGCCTACATTTCTTCCCTCTATGGTAAGAAAACTTTTGCTGGTTCTAGGATTCTTGGCTTCCCCATTTTGTCCTTTATCATTCTGAATATATCAATCCACTGCATTTTTCCTTCCAGAGTTTCTAGTGAAAAATCTGATGAGGGCCTTATGGGGAAGTTAATCTGAATCCTTCCTCTGTCTCAACCTCTTAGGTGTTAATCTATGCTCTATAATGTCATCGGGAGAAGAACATTTTGTTATAGTATCACAATGTGAGTTAGGTGCTACCATCCTTTTGATACCAATAATTCAGACTTGGAAGAAAAAGGAGTTGAACACCTGAGTGTAGATATGTTGAAGTCTTTCAAAGCTAAAAGTTATTACAGTATTTTTTTTAGACTTTACATGAAATGTCGATGGAAGTACAGTACAAATTTTAATTTCTAAACAAGTAAATGTAAGTCTCCATACTTATTTACTCCATACTACTGAAGCAAACATTTCTGTAGTTCTTTCAAAAACATTGTGATTCCAGCGAAATGGAGAGCTGAGACAATAAAACCAGTGGTCAGCCAGAGGACCCTGTATTTTGTGGATCCTGACATCATGGTATGGGCATTGGTCATATGGACTCAAAGAACTGTAGGAGCAACGTGTGCAAACTGGCTCAGGCTTCTCTGCATGGGTTCTAGCCAGGAGTGCCTCTTGATCCACCTGGACATCAGGAGTCTCCTTTGCCTCCACTTGCAAGAGACATCAGAGACTGTTTCCCCTGTGACACTTTCCCTCTGCCTTGCTCTCCTCTGACCTTTCTCTCTTCTCTGCTTTCTTAATACATTTGTTTCTCACAAATTGTATAACAAAACTGATGTTCCAAAGATAAAAAAAAATATTATTTCTTTTTTCCTGGAATTTTATCCATCAGTAATTCCATTACTACAGCTTTCTCCCATCAAACTACCTTAAATGTCATTTTGAGGCTTGACAAATCTTACTCATTTTGGAACCTCCTAGAATAACTTGGAACTTGTCATGTAGGTAAACACTTAAAAATATTGAACAACCGAATCTTGTAAGTCAAAAGTCAGGTATAGAACTAAGTATACTTTTTATTTATTTTTTTCCCCACTGTGCAACCCATTTCAGTACCAGCAGCCTAAGCACACAGAAGCCAGGCAATGGTTTGGGACCACAGTGTGCCCTGGCATGGGACACTATGGAAGGCCCGGGGGGATAGACTTGCCATATGTATTGTACTTTTGAAAGGATAGATGCCATGATTTCTAGCGTCTCAGCTGCTAAACATCTTTTGCTTGCTCTAGAGTTTGACTGATCACATCTTCTAATTTGCCCAGGCCCCCTTTTTGTCTTGGCATTTGGAGGATTCACAACAGATTTTCACCTTTTAAACAAGCAGTTATTAATAGCTGCACTAAAATAAACAATGATGTAATACAAAATTGCTTGATATATGCAAGATAGGGAAAACATAATTAGAATAAAAGGGATTATTTATAGACCAACATCCTTCTCTAAAGGAGATAGGCTGAGCCACACAGCACAGGCACACATCAATGCATTTGTAGCTATCATGTGAAAAATGAGTTATCTGAGAAGGACTTTATAGATTGACTTTTTAAATTAAAGTAATAACAGGTTTATAATTTAGAAAATCAAATGCTTCTATAAGGTGCATCTGGCAGTTCCCTGACATACTCTCCCAGTTCCCAACCCTTTTCCCAAGAAACTATTAATTTCTTATTCAGGTATTTAAAAGGTTCATATTTGCATTCTGATTTTCTGTATTGATAATATGTTTCTTGAATTTTAAGCTGCAGGCATTGTCCTCAGCTAAGGCATTTTATGAGTCAATTGTTATAAAACATAGTTAATTATCTTGACCCTCTAATTTGCTTAATTTCTTATATACCTCTCACTAGTTCTTCCTCTGAACACCATATGAGAATATAGAAACCAAGTGAATATGGCCAAAGACATCAAATAGTATGCTACTTTCTTTTTTTCCTCTGTAAGTCTTTCTCCTAGTTCCCATAGAGTCTCAAGAATGACTGTGCCCACAGACTTATTATCATCCTGGGCTTTCCTTTTTCAGCAGTGTAGAATTTTTGTCACCTCTCATGTGTTTGTTTCTCTCTCTTCTGAATTCTAAGTATTTCTGTTTTTTTTTTTTTTTGACAGATCCTTCTATCCTCAAGTAGTTTTTAAGAGGTGATTTAAAAAATGATGCATATTCTTAGAATGTGTTTAGTAGTTTACACATAATAGTGGGATTCATTCTGGCATAAACATACATGTATGGAATAAAATTTGCTCTATTTCAGTCCCCAGTATCTCCCTCCCTTCCCATTTTCCCCTTCCTTCATGCTATTATTTATTTATTTATTTATCTTAATTGGTGCTTTATAGTTATTCATAAAGGTAGAATTCACTGTATTATCTTCTAATGTCCCTAAGAAATTTACTTACCTTATTATATTTTTGATTCCTGAAAGTTTTCTTAGTTACTTTTGAAAACATAAAATTCTTTACCAATTGGAAAGACGCAGATAATCTCTCATCTCTCCAAATAAAATGATTATAGTTTTTCTCTCTTGTTCTTTGGATTATAACTATTTTTTATTTTCCAAATTCTTTGTCCTGTTTGGCTGTTGTAGTCATTGTCTTCAATATTAGAGGTGTTAGTCAAATATTTGGTCCTTGGCTATTGATTCATATTTAAGAATGACCTATTAAGTAGTTGCTGAAATACTCAATGTGTATGGAAAAAGATTTGTTGGGGTGGCCTCACTGTAGGCTAACCGGGAAGGGGCATATTATTATAGGAACCTTGAATGTCAGTAACTACAGGTCTTATCTCTAAACTGTTTAGTTCCTCCAGTTCCTTTCAATGGTGCTAGGGATACTGTATAATAAGCCCATTGCACAGGGTAGGCAAGCTGATCATTAACTGCTCTTTTATTTTTCTTCTCTTTTTTATTTATTTTCTTTTTTTAAATACACAACAGTGGAATGTATTACAATTCTTATTACACATATAGAGCACAATTTTTCATATCTTTGTATAAATTATGTTCACGCCAACATGTCTTTATACATGTACTTGTTTTTTTTTTTCATTACAATTCTTATTACACATATGTATCACAATTTTTCACATCTATGTTTGTATATAAAGTAGGTTGACACCCAATTCGAGTCTTCATATATGCACTTTGGATAATGATGTCCATCACATTCCACCATCCTTGTTAATTCCCTGCCTCCTCCTTTTCCCTCCCACCCCTCTTCTCTATGTAGAATTCATCTATTCCTCCCATGCTCCCACTCCCTGCCCCACTATGAGTCAGCCTCCTTATATCAGAGAAAACATTCAGCATTTGTTTTTTTGGGATTGGCTAACTTCACTTAGCATTATCTTCTCCAACGCCATCCATTTACCTACAAATGCCATGATTTTATTCTGAGTAAAATTCCATTGTGTATATATGCTACATTTTTTTTCTATCCATTCATCCACTGAAGGGCTAAACAGACATTTAATTTACCTCTCTTTACCCCATTTTGGGAGTATCATCTGCCTTTCTTTCAAATATATTGGGCCACAAATTTCCATGCTTTCAATTTCATGAATTTTTTTGCTGATGCTTGGATTCTTAACTTTCTCTGCTTGTTTTCATCCTCTCAGTTTTGTTGACATATTTCTTTTGTTAAAATAACTTTCCTTAAATTTTCCAGTTTTCTTTGTCCTAGCTTGATACTTTCTAGTTTCCTTTCATCGGATTTTTGGATGGAGGAGAGAAGAGCTATAAACACATGAGTTCTGCTACCTTCTTCAACTGCAAGTCCTGACAAGCTATCTGTGTGATAGCTTTGAAAAAGTGTGCTTCCCCTTATTTGTATGGACTTAAACAGTGAATCTATAATCTTGGAGCACAGGTTTTAGTGATTACTTTGCATGTCTCTAGAATGCAACATAAATGTGATTTTAGAAACTGGCCTCAGATATAAAAGTTGCAAGAATTTCTCACTTAGCTCACTCCAGGTAGGAGATTTTTGCTAACTTAATAGAAATAAGGACCTAGTTTCTGTTACCTTACTAAGCTAAAAATTCAAATGGAATAGATATGTTAAGGAGTAAGATCAAAAAGCCTATGGACCTGATCTCTACCCCTCAATTTCAGGGATCCCTAATTCAAACCATACGGCGGCTTAGAAAACTGTTAAAATTATCTACCTGGATCTCTGCAGCTACAATGTGGTTTCTGCAGACTGGGGATCAAAGAGAAGGATTATAGAATATAGCTCAAGGAAGGACCCTGAATATGAGCCACACCTCTGCTGGAAAACCTGTCTAGTCTTAGAGTCTTCCTGGAAACACTGCCCTGGATGATTTCCCATTTCTTCTTCATTCTCCAACAGCACACACCTTCATTAGCATGTTTGACACATTCACAAAGCTCATTGATTCCTATGTGTGGAGCTGCTGACTAGTTGGCAATTCACCTATTTGTGGCAGCTGCCTTCACTAGACTGTCTGCTCTTTGAGGTCATGGGCAATGTTCAATTTATTCTGTATACCTAATGCATAAGGCATTGGTTGAACTATACATCATATTCATTAAATGTTTGTGGAATTAATGAAAAAGATACCCTATAGTTTGTTCAATTCCGTGCCTACTTTAACTGTATTAAGCCAGGAAGACATTTGAGATATGACAAATAATGATCAGCCATCATTTTGAAACTTATGGATTAGAGTATCTTGCTAGGAGACAATATTTACAGATTCTTCTTCCAATATCAGAGTTTCATTCAAGTTGTTAGAAGTGACAATTGACTAAGACAACCACAATCTTATCATTACATGTTTTTATCAGGTCAGTTTCTTGATAATGCAAAAAACAATGCATTATGATTTTAACATGAGAAAACTTTGAAACCTTAATGGTTTGTGATCCCTTTTTCCTTCATCTGAAATCACTTTAGCTTATTGTTTGGCAATACAATATGAAATTCTGAGTCTGAGGAGCTAGAGGCAAGATTCAGTTCTGTAGTTTACTAACTAAATGGTTTTTGAGCAAATGGTTAATTACACTGAATGGTGTTTTCCTGGTCCCCCAATGGTTAAAACAACAAAGGGTTATTATCAAGTTTTGATGGGAAGGCATAACTGAACTAAAATGTGATAAATTTTGATTAATGTGATAATACATCACACATGCAGATATACACTAGGTATTGCCAGTATGGCAGTAAGAGATAATCCACAGTGTTTTAATTTTGAAAAAAAAAATTGTATTTTTGAGTCCCAATTTTGACTAAAGGTTGGAAGGCTTCCCTTTGAGGAAATGTTTGTTTCTAAAGGAAACTGTGGCAGCAGGAGGCTGTTCTTTAATGTGACATCTAGATGTGGGGACAGAAGTTGTTACAGAAATATTCACAGGTAGCTTAATAAGCTGCTAACACTGCATACCTCCTAGAAGAGAGAGGTTGAGAATAGAGAAGGGGCAGAGTCTTAGATGCTTAATATTTGTGAATGAAAATAGCGGATTCCATCCATCCATAATCCATATTCTCTGTTAATACTTCAGGGCAGGATTTAGCTAAGCAGATTAATAATAAAGTTGAATGTGGCAATGGAAGCCTTGTACCTTATTGTTAAGGAAATTTGTTTCAAAATCTTGACAATTCTTAGCCAAATTAATTCAGAGGTATGTGTTCTTATGAACAGGAAATTCCATTTTCTTTTGATTTCTTAAACTATAGTAGTACCATAATAATACATTGTGAAAACAAAATAGTCAAATAAAATAAAAATATAGAATAAAATGTGAAATTGTTTTTCTCCTTCTCTCCATATTCTACTACTCAGAGATAACCAATATGAATATATATTCCAAACTTTTCTCTATGGATTATGCATATGCATGTCTTTATGTCTTATTTCTTGGACACACTAGCATTTTCAAGTAAAGAAAGGTTGTTCTAGGATAAGGCATCTTCCTCTCGTTTTTTATTTTTTAAGTACAAGAAACTCAGGTTGTCAAGTTACAGATTCACAGCATTCTAAATGTTATTTTGCCACTTAACTCTGTGACCCTTAGCATATTTCTTAAATTTTGTAACCTCTCAGTTTGTTCATTTGTGAAATAAAAGTAAAAACATTGTATAAAGTTGTTATAAGGAGAAAAGAACATGGGAGTCATAGGGAACTGAAATGAATAAATTAAATGAAATCAT